GGGAATGGAAGCCCTCTTAGTGCTAGACTCAGGACCTGAAACATTCTCAGGGTAGACTTCGGGATTTGTAGCCATCTCCTGACTCTGGTCAGGGGTTAGAACCATCTCTTGACTCAGGTCCGGGGCTAGAGCGAGCTCTCGACTCCCAGACGAGAACTTAGGGCCTTCCTTCTCCGGAGCTGTGTCGGACCTCTCACTCTCTGGAATGGGTTTAGGGACAGCAATCCTTGGAACGGATTCCTGGACTGGGGCAGGCACGGTACCAGATGTAAGAACTGGAAAGCGCTCCTGGCTTAACTCTGTGACGAACGCCGGATCCAGGCTGCACTCAGGTAGAGGAGGAGTGGACATTGGGAGGCGCTCGGGAGGAGCGGACACTGGAGGGCGCTCGAGAGAAGCGGACACTGGAGGGCATTCTGGAGCGGACTCTGGACTAGGAGCAGGATCCTGGCAGAGCTCTGAGGCAAGAGCGGGCACTGGACTCTGGTCAGGGTCTGGAGCCTGCACTGGACTCTGGTCTAGAACAGATAAATTCACTGGGCCAATCTCGGGATCAGAAACTCTCTCTGGGCTAAACTCGGGAACAGGAGCCCTCTCTGGGCTAGATTCGGGAACAGGAGCCCTCTCTGGGCTAGATTCGGGAACAGGAGCCCTCTCTGGGCTAGATTCGGGAACAGGAGCCCTCTCTGGGCTAGATTCGGGAACAGGAGCCCTCTCTGGGCTAGATTCGGGAACAGGAGCCCTCTCTGGGCTGGACTCGGGGATTGGGGCCAGTGTTGCCAATTTAGCAATTTTGTTGCTAAATTTAGCAACTTTTCAGACTACTCTAGCAACTTTTTCTTCCAAAAGCACCTATCAACAAATTTAGCCATTTGTTTTTTGGCAATTTTTAGCAACTCTTGTTAAGTGACTCTAAATTACAAAAAAAGAGGAAACCAAAGATGCCAAGCAGTACACACATCATGTGAATTAAGTTAGCTGCTATTTGCAATTGTTCAATTTAATAATAATAGAACAATTTAATGATTGAATAATTGTTCATTTATGATACACCCTGTTAGTGGCTTGTACCCGTGATCGTTGATCAGTTAGTACACTGTAAGAAAAAAGAAAAAATGGAAAAGGTACTAGTAATTTTCCATGGCATTATCCATTATAACCCTGTAACCCGAAAACACAAAATACAATGCGTAATTTAAAATGCAGGTTTAAAAAAAAAAAACGGTAAAAAAAAATTAATACAGAAAATTCCTTCAATATTAACATAGTAGATTATTTTTACAGACTTTTCTTAGATTGTAGCACACTAACTACTAATACACTGCTTAAAACTATAATTGTTCAGAATGT